AAAAAATACCCTAGTGCCTATAATTACAATGAGTTATTATATGAAATTGAAATAGGTTTGTAGTGAAATCTACTTCTGAAAAAGAATGCTGTAGGTACCTAAGGGACTAAGGTGAAATGTCTTACAGCCTGTAATAAATTTAATTACACTGGCCAGTCAGTCAGGCCACTAGCTGAGGATGCCATGTTCTCTGGAGGCAGAAATAGATATAAAAAAATAGACCGTAGTATATATAGTAAATGGCCGGAAAAATTCCTAGGCGAAATTCTTAACATGAAGTAATGTGATATTTTTATACATCCAAAAGCTACCAAAAATTCAGACAACACTGGTAAGGTAATGGTACACACTTATCTTTCTTTAAGAAGCGTCCTTCCTAGAGGTGCACGATAACCAACCACATCTCTCATCTAATTTGCCGTAAGTACTTCAATCAGGATTGAAGCAGCATCATTAAATCGGTTTTGCAGCCACTGCTATAAGTAGATATACCTACATTATAACCAAAATGATGTAGAAGTATGACATCTATCTGTTTGAATACATGATGTATTACATATAAGTATATAATATTTAATTTCTTTATTGACATTTCTACAGTTGAGGTTGAGTCACTGACCTCTATATTTACAAGTACGCTGGACTGGCTATACCATACAAAATGACTCTGCCAATTTGAAGCGCCGCTAAAGGATGTCTTGAAAAATAAAATTGATATAATATGTCAAAGTATGTTGTCTTATTCATATTGTCGTATTTAATAAGTCTGTTTTTTGAACTTTTAAACTTAAAAACGTTGTTTGATTGTGTATAATATTAGTTACATAATAAGAATTATTTTTATTAATAATGAGAGGGTGCGTAATCTGTAAAACTCGTTACCAAAAGGAAAGTGGTATAATATTTCACAAGTAAGTGAATTTGCAATAAATATTAAACAAATTAAAACTATTTGATAATATAAGTACTTAGAAATTTGTTACTAATCTTAATATCATATATACCAACATGTTTGTCTGTATATTACTGAGTTTTGATAAACAATAAAATTCAATAGGGTTGTCGAGTTTCTTGTTTATAATACTTATCGATGTTCTTTCCTACCTATCTGTTAACAAATAAAGTCACCAACAACAGATGATTACCAAATGTTTATTAACAAGTTTCCAACTGAACCTAGACTAAAATTATGCCTTAAAATCATAAATATTGTGAGTTGGCGCCCGAAATAAAATGATCATATTTGTTCCAAACATTTCACAGACGACTGTTTTATTAGACATGAGAACTGCACCACTTTGAAAAAGTGCAGTATACTGACAATATTTTCTGGTAGTACCAGTACCAAGTACTACCAACTACCAAGTACTATGTATTAGATTATTATTTCGAGTGTTTTTTTTTATTTCTTCTTTCCTAATTTTCCACCAAACTCAAGGGCCATGGCCAAGTGTCGAAAGGTCGCCTGATGATGTCGAGCCACGTTGGATGTGTGTTAGTGGGCTGCGGCTAGAGGGCGATTCCTCTCCCTGTACCGCTGTAGTCGAGGTGGAGTCGTAAGGGAAGAGGAGTGTTGGTATGGCGATTGGCGACGCGCCACTCGACTGCTTTTCGCGACTTTGGTGAGGCTGCACCACTTAATGCTTCCAAGTGCTCGTTTTTCCCTGGCTCCATTCACATATCTGGCCCGGTAATTGATAATTTCATTTTTTTTAATATTGTAATTTTATTTTCGAAAATGACGTTGTAAATAACTGATAACGTTTATATTTTTTATATTATCTTGCTAGCTCATACCCGGCGCATTGCTGCCGCAGAAGAAATAATTGTGGAAATATCGTTAAAAATGTGGAACAGTTATATTGTATAATTAGGAATGATAATACAATCATTGAAATAGAATGATATATAACTTTCTATAACTTTCAAATAAATAGTTCTAGTGTCAGTTAATTGTACCATGCGTGTAACCTTCACACAAATGCAACCAATAAGTTGACTAAGTTTTACCGCAATCTGATAAACGGTATGGCATTGTAGAAAGTCCGAACAAACATAAATTTTTATATAGTAGAAAATATTTTACTGTCGTTTCCTTTTACTGTACTTTCCTGTAGTTGATTAGAATAGGCGTTATTATAGCAGCTGATTTGTTTTTTTATAATAATAAAACAAAATGAACGGTTGACAATAAATTATTCTGGAAATTATGTTTTTATTTTTATTTTGTGTACTAAGTTTAATCTTAATAATTTTGGTTGAATGATTAAGGGCTATTATGGCTATCCGAGTACAGAACCAAAGTACAAAACTAATCCAACTGTAGAGATGTGTAAGACAGGGTGACGTAATATCCCCGAAAAACTTTACCGCTGCATTGGAAAACGTTTTCAACCTACTGGATTGGAAAGGATACGGTATTAACGTTAATGTCGTGTACGTCACTCACCTTCGATTTGCCGAATATAGTCCTTATGGCACAATAGCTGGAGGACCTACGCACTATGTTCAATGACCTCAATAGTGCCTTTCAACGGATAGGTCTTAAGATGAACATGGACAAAACAAAAGTCATGTGTAATGTCCATGTCACACTTATGCCAGTGGTTTTTGGGAGCACTTAGCTGAAGTTGTTGATGAGTATTTTTATTGGGACAAATAGTCCGACTAGGTAGGTCCGTCGATTGACTTGTCGGTCGAAGTTGAACTTCGACTGACAGGTCAATCGACGGATTCAACTCGGCTGGGCAGCATTCGGGAGATTACAATACATCTTCTCGTCAGGAATACCTCAAAACTAGATTGTACAACCAATGCGTGTTGTCAGTGATGAAATATTGATCTGAGACGAGGTCTTTCACTGCTGGCCGTATGAGGAAGCTCGAAGTCGCTCAACGAGCTATGAAGAGGGCTATGCTCAGCTCACGCTATTCTTCAAACTTAGGAATGAGGATATCTGCAGCAGAACCAGAGTGACCGACATCGCCTAATGGATTAGTAACCTGAAGTGGCAATTGACCGGCTATATAGCTCGAATAACCGAATACCGATGGGAAAAAAGGTTCTCGAGTAGCAGCCTCGTACTGGCAGGTGAAGTGTAGTTCCCGCACTAAATGGAGTGAAAACCTGGTAAGACATGCAGGAAGTTGATGGATGCAGGTAGCTCAGGACCGTGCTTTGTGGTATTCCTCGTGGGAGGACTATGTGATTTGTGAAGGGTTTTAATGATGATGAATGATAATGGCATTATATTAATATGATACATAAATAGAATGGACGTTACGGGTAGAGTCTATCTATCCATAGAGTCCATTCTATTTATTTAGGTAGGGTAGGTAGGTAGGGTATAGAATTTTTATCGATATAATTTGGTACACTGTCTTATCCCTAGTATTAGTTCCGTGGACGTGCACTTCTGCTGTCAGCGCCAAAATGGCGGAAATCAAATCGCTTCATCATGTCACGGTGTATAGCCAGTCCAGCGTACTTGTAAATGTAGAGTCAGTTGAGGTTGAGTATAATATTTGTTACACCTTGCTAGGTGTCCTTTTGGTTTGCGATGCATTGTACAGTTTTTTATTGTAATTATTTTTGCTTAATAGAACGAAAAATATTAAATAGACGATATAAGCACAATACACAAATTAATTTTACAAATAAACAGCATGGAGAATGGAAATCAATTATGAAGTCAAAAGGATGTAAAAACAACTGGAAAAAGTATATACGTCTGAAGGAAAAATATATATAGGTATATATTTTGTTACCAAAAGCAATATATCAAGTCAAAAATATGCAAAAGTTCAAAATATCATTTTTTTTACACACAATTAATTTTAAACTTTAAAACAGCATCGCATTTCTCCTTCACACGAATCCATGGCACTGAATCCGTCCTTAGATGCGGAATTATTTTCTGGGGTTACTCAATTGACAGAGAAGCAGCATTTAAAAGTCAGAAAAGATGTATCCGCGCAATGCTTGGTCTTCAGACTACCGATAGTTATATGCCGTATTTTATAAAACACAGAATTCTTACACTTCCGTTCTTATACATAATGGAGATGGCTCTCTTTGTCAGGGCCAATCCCAACCAATTTTCACGGTTATCTGATAAAGTAAAGCGCAACCGTCGTGACGGTAGTAAATTGTACTTGTAACAAGCAAAAACGGCTCTGCTAAGAAAGAGTGTAGCATGCATGGCTCCTAAAATCTATAATAAAATTCTTCAGATGTTTAAATCACTGAACTTTGAATCTTTTTAAACATAAATTCAAAAACCTTTTAATTGAAAAATGCTACTACACAGTAACGGACTTTCTCAATGATAAATTTTGACATTATATATAGAATTGATTTGAACATACATATATTTTTAATTATGATTGTTATAAGTAATAATTTCACTGACTTTGTATATGAATTGACTTTTTCAATTTAAATGAAAACTAACAACCTAACATGTTGATACTAATAACACCTGGAATAACACCAAGAATATATTTCTGCCCATGCATTGTATAACTCACACATGTTTTGGTAAATAAAATATCTTATCTTATCTTAGGTACGCTTGTTCTTTTTTATTACGGTCTAATGCGTATTTTGTTTAGGGGTTGAGTAAAAATATCCAAAACTACCTATAAGTTATAAAAATGCTTTCGTTGATCGTGTTTATCATTAACTTACCTTTTTATACTTAAATTACCGTGACTTTTATATTGTTACCACCTAATACATAAATGTTGTTATTTTATTATGTTTATTTTTTATCATAAAAATGAATATAAACTCTTTTGAAAAGTAAAACAATCTTACACCTGAAAAAAAATTATTGTTATTGACCGCTTAAATCCTGTGTCCAATTTTGAAATTAAAAAAAAAACTTATTTTCTGCGTAGTTTCCCCGCCAACTTTCGTCAATTATCAAATAATTCTATTTGTATTGGTATTGAGTGTTTTCTAGAAGTAGCTAGTGTTTTGAAAGTGTTTTTCTTGAAATGGCGGAGTCTAATGATGTGAGAGCATTAGAAAAAATATTTACAGAAGTTGACGAATCAAAAGTAAGGATTATCTTTTCCGATCAGTGCATAAAAGGTAATATCATGTTCATGCAATTTTCTCAATTTAAATTTTCGTATAGGTTAATTACACAAAAAATAATAGAAACTATAAAAAAATATTTTATTTTCTCGTATTTTAATATTCATCCGGAGTATACATATTAACCAATATTGTATTAAGGAGGACTACTTCACTTATCAAACTAGCGAATTTTTGAGTTTTTGACATCTATCTTTGAATATTTCTTTATGTTAATTGATTTTAATGAATTTTTAAATGCATATTTTTGCTCCAACTTGAGAGGTAGGATAGTTTTTAACCCTATAAGTGATCCTTAATAATTTTTATTGCCAATTTAATGATATTTTGTAGGACAAAGGGTAGTCGGAAAGGGCAGGTATAGTATATGGGTATATTCTTTTGAGATCTCGCAAAAAAATTGATAAAATATATGGTCTTTGATAATTATCACATCTAAATAACGCTAACACACATATCCTACCCAGGCGAAGCCAGAGCGGGTCACTAGTAATAAAATATAACACTTATTGGGTGCGTTTGGCAGAAAAAATCGCTAGCAAGCGCTTGTAAGCAAAATGGCGATCGTAAGCGGTAAGCGCTGTCAAATCGTAAGTAGCATTTTCCTCTAGGACACGATGTTAGATTTTAACCGGGGAACCTAACCTAATTTAAATATATTTTTGTAAAGTATTCATATTAAAAACTTACCAATCATGAATTTTTAATAACATGTATATGTCTATTCATGTCATTATATTACTTAAAACTAATATTGCAAAAAACAACTTATAAACTCTACTTCAAAACAAACAAATTAAATAAGCAAAATGGCGGATTGTGTCAGCGCTACTGAAGTAGCAATCGTGTCCCGGCCGAAAACTATTTTAGCGCTAGTAAGCGCTTGCTAGCGCTTTTTTCTGCCAAACGCAACTAATTTTTTTTAAATTTTTTTTATAGAAGAGGCGAACGACCATACGGTTCACCTGATATTAAGTGACTACCGCAGTCCATGAACAACCGCAAAACCAGGCGAATTGCAGGTGCGTTGCCGGCCCTTTAGAAAGGAGTAATCTCTTTTCTTGAAGATCCCCAGGTCGTATCGGTCCGGAAAAAACCGGTGGTAAATTATTCCACAGAGAGGTCGTATGCGGAAGAAAACTCCTAGTGAAACGTACAGTGGTGGACCGCCAAGCATCCAGATGGTGTGGATGGTATCGGGAGGTTTGCCGCGTAGTGCGTTCATGAAATTTGGCGGCTGGGATTAATCCAAACAATTCCTCAGAGCACTCCCCGTGATAGATGCGATAAAACACGCAAAAAGATGCAACATCTCTTCGCAGCGCCAGTGAATTGATTCGATCGGAAAGCACTCGGTCGTCGACGATTCAAGCCGCTCTGCGCTGGATGGCTCATGGGTCAAGTGGAAGGAGCTAGTACTGGGGAGCCCCAGCCCAGAGATGGGAACAGTATTTCAAGTGCGGCCGAACCTGCGCCTTGTAAAGTTGCGGTGTACCGGCATGAAATACTGTCCCGTTCTGCTAAGCACGTCAAGCTTTTTAGAGGCCAATTTGGCCTTCTCTTCCAAGTGACCGCGAAACTGCACGTCACCCGATATGTCGACGCCGAGGATTCCGATACTGAAAAGTAAAAGTAAAGTTACAGCCTATATACGTCCCACTGCTGGGCACAGGCCTCCTCATTTCTGAAAGGGTTTTAGGGCAAGGAAATTTCCGCCGCGCTGCCCCAGTTGGCGAACTTCACATGTCTTCGAAAATATTTTTTTTCTTATTTCTCAGACATGCAGGTTTCCTCACGATGTTTTCCTTCACCGCCGAGCACGTGGTAAATCAGCACTTAAAATTGCAATTAACAATTTCATTGGTGCCGGCGGGGATCGAACCCGGTTTGCTCGCGTATTGTGAAATTTACAGCGAGCGCTAACCATATGAGCTACCACGGCTCTTTCCCATACTGGCAGAGGCAAAAAGGGGAGTGCCTTGAAACTGAGGAGATACGACAAAGGGGTTCTTTTTAACGATTAACGCACAAATTGGTGTCTTCTGAGGGTTAACTAGATTTAGTCGCCCCCAATCCGAGACTTTGTTCAGCAAAGACTCGACTTCGGATACAAGTTTGTCCCAGTACTCGGAGACGTTTTCCCGAGAAATATTGGCAAGGCTGGTGTACAGAGCATTACCAGTGCTGTCGTCTGCATAACAAAGAATGTTGCAGGTTTGCAACATATCATTGATATGCAGAAGAAACAGCGTTAGTGATAGCACGCAGCCTTGTGGAACACCAGCATTAATAGGGTTGTAATCGGAGCTTGCACCGTCTATAACGACCTTGATGCTCCGATCTGCAAGAAAGCTGGTGATCCAATTGCACAATTTCTCGGGAAGCCCATAGGAAGGGAGCTTCGAAAGAAGCGCTTTGTGCCAAATTCGATCGAAGGCCTTCGCAATGTCCAAACTAACGGCCAATGCCTCCCCCTTGGACTCTACTGCCGTCGCCCATCTATGAGTTAGGTAGATCACCAGCTAATCGACCACGACGAAAACCGTATTGGCGATCACTAATCAGCTGGTGATTCTTAAGGTACCTTACGAGCTGGCAGTTTACAGTGGATTCCATTGTTTTGGAGAAAAAGAAGGTGATGGCGACAGGCCTGTAGTTGGACGGGTCTGAGCGGTCGCCTTTTTAGGGATCGGGTGGATGAAAGCCGTCTTCCATGATTTTGGGACTACGCCTAGAGAGTAGGAGTACCGGAATAGACGCGTTAAGACCGGTGCCAGTTCTGGAGCACACGTCCTCAGCACAATTAGGGGTTTACCGTCAGGCCCACTCGACTTGTGGATGTCCAGGGCCAGGAGTGCTTTGCGAACCGAGCGCTGTGTAAACCGCACCTCCGGCATGGAGAGCACTCAAACCGCGGGATGGTCTAAATGGTAGTAAATACAGTTTAACTTATTAAAATTATGTTTACTTATGAAAAAAATTATGTTACTAATATATTTTGTAGCCCAAGCATTCTTAGTGAATAAATTAAAGAAACAAACGGAACAACAAAAAGAAATTTGCAGTTTTATCAGTAGCGGAAATGTAAAGTTGGAAGCTGAAATAAAAATTGCTGAACAAGAAATCAAGAAGTAAGTGAAAATAAAAACCTTTCTGGTTAATGTATTTAGTAAGTACGTACAACATATTTTGATCATTTTTTTTAAAGATTTGACAGTTTTGATCAGATTTATTTTTTTATAAAAAAACTCAACCCCAACCAACACAAAGAACCTCTCTCGTGTCGTGTAATGTTTATCCGAAATGGAACGAACGGGTCGGCCACAAACACGGGATCCCGTTTTGCCCGCAAAATTTCAAACGAAAAACTACCGTAGGTGGACGAGTCTCACGGGTCCTTGATTTTATATAGACTTGCTGCGTTCGGAATCCCAAATAGGAATTTCGTGTATATGTGGCTTGCCTTAAATCATCCTTATAGAATCGAGGTCCCGTAACACACCTACGGTAGTTTTCCGTTCGAAATTTTGCGGGCAAAACGGGATTCCGTATGCGTGTGGCCAAACCGTTCGTTCCGTTTCGGAATTCCGAAACGGATTTCCATGTATAGTGTGTGACGGGACTAACTAGGTACATACATTCAGATACGGGGTAGTTATTAATTTTATGGCCGTGTGTTGAGATAGACACGATTAAAAATGAGTTTGTTTTTCTTTATAGAAAAGTGGGCAACGAGCATGTGGCTAACCTGATGGTGATTACCACAGCTCATGAACAACTGCAACACGAGGGGAATTGCAGATGCGTTGCTGGCCTTTTAGAAAGGAGTAAGCTCTTTTCTTGAAGGTCCCAAGTCGTATAAGTCCGGAAAATCACCGGTGGTAAGAGTAGAGTAGCCTCTTTTTTGTACTGGGCTATGTCCCACTACAAATGAGGTGAGGCGTCTTGAAGCATGGCGATATACTTGAAGCTAAGATCAAGAATTCGAATTTCAAGTAACGCGTACTTATGTACCTTTGCTTTATTTGTATTGCACTAGCTTACAATGTGTGACTAACGTAAGTTTTGTAGCAAAGTAATCACTAGCAATTGATAATTGAATGAATTACGATATTATCGAAGTTATTACTTAATGTACAGCCAACTAGCAGCGATACGAAATGTCATTTACCTTAAAAACGACTATGGAGTTGACTATCTATTATCTATCTCTTTCCATCTTTTGTATTTGTCGCAATGTCTCGTTTTCCCGGCAAAAACATGTCAGGGTCAAGACGGGTTCACCAGCATTCGGGAGGCCATTTAAGTAATAATAGTGATTCATTCCGTTTCGGAACGCGCTCGTGGTGATACAAGTTATTTGTTAAATTTTTTGTTATTTTTTGTGTTTATTTAAATATTGTTATTTTTTTAGTTTTGTTTTGTAGTTTTATTGATAATTGTTTTTATTAAGAGTGGTTAATGATGGAGCCACAACCAATTTCACTTCTCTGAAAAAGAAACGTACAAAGTTTTAATTAAAACTTCTTGGTTCTGATTGCACTTTAAAGTTATTTATAAAACAGCAACTGTAATAATAAAACATTTCTTAATTTATTAAAGATGCATGTAAGTAAAGTATGTATATAATTTTAATTTAATTATTAATTTTAGGTGACTAATTTTACTGTGAATGAAAAATATATGGTTATTAATACCTACAAATATATAGAAACGTGGCTAAATGATAAATACCCATACAGAAAAGAGATGCCGCAGAAAGCATTTATTTAATTTAAATTATAAGAAAATTTATAAATAGTCTATTTTTTAGTTTGGTAGACATTTTTAAAACTATATTGTCTACAAATCAATAATCTAACTATCAAAAAGTTACGGACCCCTGCTATTCCTAATAACCTTGCATTGGTTTTATTTACATTTGGTATCGCTTCTCGTTGGCCGTACTTTACATATTTACCTTCACTGATGTCGCCTCTACACGTTGGCCAACACAGTGGCGAATGTAGTGGCGAATATATTGGCCGAGAGTTGGTGACGGCGTCCACACGTTGGAAGGTCGTTCAGTTTACTTCGGTTCGGGCCAATGTGCGAACGAATTTATTTTATTTTAGACGACGGCTCCGTGGCGCAGTGGCTTGGCAATGATTGGCTGTGCCAGGGGTCGCGGGTTTGAATCCCGCACGGAACAAGTATTTGTATATCCTACAAATAATTGTTTCGGGTCTGGATGTGTGTCCTTGTGCAATTTATGTTTGTAAGTTGCCTCCGCGATACAGGAGAAAATCCAACGTTTTTATAAAATAATTATAAAAGAATAGTGAATATTAATGGGGCTGTAAATAGATATACGATATACGATTAGCTTTATTTATTCTTTACATGCATCAGAAACTGGAATAAATACCATTAATTAGAACTTAACTTATTTTAAAGTTAAAGGAATTATAATCGATTAGTCTATGTTTTAAAATTGGGTTTTGTTTTTAAAGTTTAGCAAAACATGTACTTGCATTTCTATCAGACATTTGATGTATATAAAAAAACACCTTATTATTTATTTAGTAATTTAATTATTTTTTGAGAAAGACAAAAACAATAGCAATAAATATAATTAACACTGACTTAATAATAGGTACTAATTATAACTTAGAACATAAATGAAAAACTCACGACAAGGAAAGTGGCTCAGGACCATGCTTTGCGGCATTCTTTGGAGGAGGATGTTCAGTAGTGGACTTGTGAAGAGCTGTAATGATGATGATGATTCGAAAACTTGCACGATTAAATTATAAGAAATCGACGTTTTTTATATAGGATAGGGTGACAAACGAGCAAACAGTTCACCTGATGGTAAGTGGTTGCTGTGGCCCATAGACATCTACATCTATCCTCGATTAAGAATCAAAATGCAGATGCGTTGTCACCCGTGAGAACTAAGATAAAATGCCTCGTTTCCTTTAAAAAGTGTCTCTGGTTCTCTACACTCACTATACGAAACACAGCATCATTAAGCTACTATTTTACATTGATATTCTGTGAGAGCGCGGCCCTTCCCCGGTCGGACCGACCCATTCGTGCTACAATTATACTTCTAATATAACTGCATGGTTCTACCACGTATAAACGACGTGCTTCATTTTTTTTTCATTTTAAAATTGTTCTCGTAATAATCTGATTGTAAATAAATGTTCATTATTTTTTTTTTTATAAATAGCTTATCGATTAACACAAATGTTTAAAAATAATTAAATCGCGCTAATTAAAGTAGTAGGAATGTTTAAAGTTGAAATTGGCACTAAAAGGCTGGTAATTGGGTCATCCACCCTACAAAGCGTGAATATAAAATTTTAATCAGATGCGTGTAATCACTCTGGGAGCTTGTAGCAAACTAAACTCGCAGCCAACGTGTGGACGCGGCGACCAAACTCTGCCAACAATCCTTTGATCTTTTGTAAAAAACCGACACCACACGGATCTCGCGCCAACTTGCGGGTCATCGTTCCAATCATACATACCAATGAAGCCCAAACACCCCGTCTACACGTTGGCCAATGCTATTGGCCACTACATTCGCCACTGTGTTGGCCAACGTGTAGAGGCGCCGTAAAGGTGACTTGTTTGTAAAAACATTATTTGAGTAAATATGAAATAAATCATTATTATATGTATTGTTAATATAGTAATGATTTCTTATATTTACGCGAACACTATATTGACATTGATTAAAACTACTTTTACGGATTTTATCGCGTTTTATTTATATATATTTAATACCCGACGTTTCGGGTGTTTTCCAGCACCCATGGTCACGGGGGACAGTCACCCGTGACCATGGGTGCTGGAATATAGTATTTATTACTTTTAGTTATATATAGTATTTAAAAACATACGTGCAGCTCACACGCGACAGAAGTGAAACCTTAAAATGAAATGAAATATACAAATACTTTAAATAATTTATTTAATATTATAATTTAAACTACAAGTTAGGCATAAATATAAGAAAATTTAATTTTATAGTAAATAAATGCAGTAGTACTTATAGTAGTAGTAGTAGTACTCACTAATTATAAAAAGTATTATATCAATTTTACCTATTACGAAGTTGAGGTTTGGCCTATGGAGTGTAGAGGTAAGGAGTACAGACTCTGTATAAAAAAGTGTCCGTAGGAAAGCGCTAAATAAGGGTGACGCCACTGTAGCTACAGTCTAAATTTTAAAGAACTTTTTATAATTTTTTTATTGCACAGACTTTCACCATCTTTTTTACAATAATAATTATATTGCTTTCAAAATTTTTATTTTCAAAATCACCCTCAACGTATTTTACGGCGATTTATGATACCTGTACCTCGAGCGCTGTTGTGGAGAGTTTTGAAGAGTTTTGTTTTGAGTTTGAGTTTGTGGAGACATTTTCAATTATTCTCCTATGGGAGATTGTCCTCCTTACCTGTATACTACGTGGTTGCGTGTCAAAGTGTGCGTAAGACCATAAGCGGGTATGGTTAGGACGGCACGCTTGCAACTGATTGCTCTTGCCCCGCCAGCCATGCAATGGTGCATGTACACGTTCAACTATGAGTAAAGCTTGCTCGACTTGGTGAATTCCAAAAACTATATCTCTCTTGGTCACGTAAATGTGGGTCGAATAAAGATGTGCGTGCAGCACGTACTTCGTTTTCTCTTACTCTCCTCCTACACTTCACATGTGACAAGAGTTCATCAACATCATCATCGTCATTACAGCCCTTCACAAGTCCACTGTTGAACATAGGCCTCTCCCAAGTAATGCCACAAAGCACGGCCCTGAGCTACCTGCATCCATCGACTTCCTGCATGTTTTACCAGGTCGTCACTCCATTAAGTGGGGGGTCGCTCTACACTACGCCTACCGGTACGAGGCTGCCACTCGAGAACCTTTCTTCCCCATCGGTTATCGGTTCTTCGAGCTATATGGCCGGCCTATTGCCACTTCAGCTTATTAATCCGTTGGGCTATGTCGGTCATTCTGGTTTTACTACGGATATGCTCATTTCTAAGTCTATCACGCAGTGAAACTTCGAGCATAGCCCTCTCCATAGCTCGCTGAGCGACTTTGAGCGTCCTCACACGGCCAGCAGTGAAGGACCACGTCTCAGATCCGTAAGTCATCACTGGTAACACGCACTGCTTGTACAATCTAGTTTTCAGAGTTTGAGGTATACCTGACGAGAAGATGTGTCGTAATTTCCCGAACGCTGCCCAGCCAAGTTGAATCCGTCGATTGACCTCTCGGTCGAAGTTAGACTTACCTAGTCGGACTATTTGTCCCAAGTAAACGTACTCGTCAACAACTTCGGGCATAGTGCTCCCAACAACTACCGGCATAGGTGTGACATGGACATTAAATATGATCTTTGTTTTGTCCATGTTCATGCTCTCCAACTTAACGTTTAGGTTCAGTGTACCTCTAACCATTCGGTGATCGCTGCCAGTTTTCACCCTTGCGATCACTGAGAGATTACTGAACAGTTGGCGTCTGGTGGTCATAATGAAGTCAATTTCATTTTTTGGCGAACCGTCGGGGCTCGAGCAGGTCCACTTTCTGTGGGGCCGCTTTTGGAAGAAAGAGTTCACCATAAAAAGTCCCTCTTTCTCCATGAAGTCGGTCAGCTGCTGGCCCCTTGGGTTCCGTTGCCCTATCCCAAATTTCCCTACCTTCAACTCACCGTTCTGTCTTGTGCCCAGTTTTGCGTTGAAGTCTCCCATTAACACCGTATAGTGAGTTTTAGAGGAATGCATGGCTTTAGAAATGTCCTCATACATTTCCTCCACCTCCTCATCGGGATGTTCCGACGTTGGCGCGTAAACCTGTATTACCTTCAGCGAATACCGTTTGATGATTCTGAGTATAAGGTACGCAACCCTCGTCGATACACTCCCAATCTTTAAAACGTTGTTAACGAGAGACTTGTGGACGATAAATCCAACACCTCCTTGGGACAGATGGTCGCCCTCCCGGTGAAGGAACAAGTTGCCGGATTCGAGAATCACCGTGTCCTCCCCCTCTCTTCGGACCTCGGATAATCCTATAATGTTCCAGCGCAACTTGTCTATCTCTTCTTCCAACTCCAGGATCTTCTCGTCAGTCCTCAGGGTGCGTGCATAACACACGTTTATATGTTGCCAGGTCGAGTCGTCGTAGGTGGCAACCGAACCTCCACCGGAGATTCTTAGCACCCCCTGCCCAGCCGCCACCGTAGCCAGGAATAGCGGGGCCCGTCTATTTGTATAATTGTTCATGGGGGGTATATTGCCATAGTTGCCACGCTTGGCGAGCGGGTTGGCAACCGCAGTTTATTTGTTGTACAGTTGCTGATATCAGGAAGATGCTGCTGCCCATCTCCTGCTTGTTTCCCTCTGTCGCCTCTTACGACACCCACGGGAAGACATGGAGTAGTGGATATTCTCAACCGCCACTACACGGCACAAGAGTTACCTGTAGAGCTGATTTTACACTGTTTTCTCATGTACGGGTGAAATGTACTGTCTGTTGTATGTCCTACTAAACACTATGGTCCATACTGACTAGTCTTAGTAGGTTACCTGTTGTAATCGAACCCGCAGCCCACAAAGCTGCCCCCTAAACTTCACCCACTATGTTAGGTTGGCAATGTTTCATATTATAAAAATATACCTTAGATACCATGTTTAGTGCAGTACCTACAACACTATTTAATGAAGATATTATTGCTTGTGTGCAGAGTAGAAATGTAATATGTGAAAAAACCCTCATTTACGTTTCAATTTTTTTACTTTCATTATTATTTTTAGCATGCTTATTGCTCATGAGACTATAAAATCTGCAAACATAGAAATGAGAAAAGAATGGTTTCTTAAGAAAGAAGAAAAAATAGAAATAACAGGACGAATTGAACTTGGCGAGAAAAAGTATGAAGAACTTTGGTTATCGACTAAAAGTCGATATGAAAACATTCCTTATGTACAAAAATGTCTACAGGGTAAAAATAGAAGTCAGTTAATTCAGGCTAACATAAAAAGTTTAATGAGTGAATCTGAAAGTCTTCAGAATGAAATTAAAATAAAGAAAAATACATTATTGAAAATGGACCAAAAAGTAATAATTGATCTCGCAACATTTGTAGTAAAGGATAAGCCTAAACTATTAAAAACTATACATGATTTGAGCAACGAAATTGAAGAGTTGACAAAAGAAATAAATGTCTTAGAGGAAGAGGAAGCTAAGATCAATCCGTTTTCTAAGCTAAGAGTCTCGACAGAAATACAGCAACGTCCAAATACAGAAATAAAAGAGCAGACTAAAAATAATATAGATGAAAAGTGGCCCAGTTTATGTAAAAATGAAAATGACGCCATCGTGGTATGCCCAAGTATTTCAAATATGTTAACTTATGTTAAAATGTAATGAAACTTAAAATAAAGAGCTTTGCTTTTCAGATGCCAAGACTTCAACTTCTGGACGTCGACTTAGACATCCTTAGTGTAAAATTAGACCAGGTAAGAAATTTTTGCATTGAGTGTTGTAATAAAGTAATAAATAACTGAAAAATACATATGAAAATAAATTTTAGATCAAAAAAGTTGGGTTTTCGAGTTCTGAGCAGCAAAAGGTAACAATGATGGAAGGAATTAATAATAAACATGAACATGAGAAAAGTGATGAATGTAATTCTTCATATTTCAATGTTAAAAGGACTAAATATCAAGAAAGTAAACATACAAATTATTCTGATAAAAAATTGATCCATATTTTAGATGATGTTAGGCTTGAGAAAGATCATACTCTAAACATAATATCAAAAGTTAATCGTAGTCAACTTCATAATGTTGATTTCATAAGATCTGAAATAAGTGAAGGACCTACTGGGATAAGTAAAAAATCTGATGATAAGGTAATAGAATACATTTTGTCCGAAATATTAAAATTATATAGAATAAATATTATAAAGGCACTATCCCTATATAAGATATCTTTAAAATATTTATCATTTAGTTCAGAATCAAGAATTACAAAAAAAAAAAAAAAACACCAAGTAATTTTTAAATAGTAAAGATTGAGTATTACAGGTGAGTGAACAATTGGAGATGGAGGAAAATGAGGAAGTCAACAGTAATAAAGAAGGAGGAGAAATCCTTGTGCCACCTACACAGTTTATAGATGAAATTAAGGTAAATAAAAATACTATAAATATTTATTTTTAAAACTTATGTCATGCTTATTAAATATAAAATTACTAGAATTCACAAGACAAGAAAAAAGTATCATTTGATTTGTCAATGGAAGTAACTCCTATTGACTGTAAAGAAGTTGTAGACCAGCTGAATAATGAAAACATTGAAGACAATAAAAATAATGAAACTTTAACAAGCCAAGGAGATTTGAATTCCATTACTGAAGAAGACTTTGGTAAAATAAAAGACAAAATATTAAAACAACATAATTTAGATTTGTCACCACAGTTTATATATGCTAAGCATTCTATTATACATAAGGTAATAAAAAAATTTAATTTGTGTTACATTAAATTAATACAACATTTCACATTTGCAAATTCATATCTATTACAGATGATGGAAGATAAAGACAAAGTTATAACATCTAAATTCTTTGACCAGCAAAGTAGTAAAATTTGTGAACCTAGTTCAGAATCCGAAAAGGATAATAAAGATAAAAACAAAACAGGCATTAATAAAGAGGAAAATGAATCCATAGAGAAAAAAGACAATAATTGTAACAATTATTTTGATACAAGTGTGGACAAGATTAAGATGTCAAGTCCAAAGGTAAATTTTGTAATACCTGAACATGAAAATTTATGTACTGTATGTTTACACCAAAATTTTAATATTATAAATAACACCAAATTAAACATTCAATTTCAGATTCAAGTTATTGAAAAGCCTGTAACTGGATTTTTGTTCAACCATGGATCCCAACGGATAACTGATTCCCTAAATTTGTCAGAAAGTACTACTGGATTTGAAGAGGGTGATGGAGATTTTTCACATTGCATTGGTATTTTATTTACTACAAAAATGGTTTTATACTTAGATTAACAGTGGTAAAGTCACGCGGCAGCTTTGCTGTTGCACTTATGGGCCGGCTCGAACCGGGGTGGTACCACGACCTCACAAAATACCGACGAGAAGTGGAAGCTCTGTTTCTGCGTTTCGTCTGGTAAGTGTAGGTGGCCGGAGGCCCCATCCCCCCCCCCTCTTGACATGGTAGCGAAATTAAGTAAAGATCTACCCCAGAAGGGTACCAGCACCCCTGGAGAATCCCTCGCTGAGCATCCACGACCAAGTTACTCCACTCCTGAGCGTGGGTGCTGGCCCGCGTATTCGGGGGGAGGGGGAATTCCACTCGACTGCTAACTGCTCGAGGCAAACTGAGCAACAAGACAAGGTGACCCCTGCCACGCTTATCCGTGAATTTCTGCAATATCAGGGGACTTCATTCTAACCTAAACGCCGTTCACTACTATCTCGAGACGGCGAGGCCGGCTCTGCTCTTTCAGACCGAAACGCAGGTGTCCTTTTCGGCCGATGGTTCGTGTCTCTCCTACTCGGGGTACAAACTGGAACACTCCTTTGTGCCTCGGCCTAGAGTTTGCGTATACGTCAGAAAGGACATCTGTTCTCGACGCCTCTTGAAGGTTCGGACCTGTCCATCCTTTGGCTACGCGTAGACAGTGACGACCATCCGCGCGTCTTCGGTTGCCTCTATAGGTCCCATAGCGGTAATGCCGAGACAAACCGACTTTTCGACCACGTCCAAAAGGCTACAGATTTGTTTTGACAACAGATCCCCTCCGCAGAGATCGTGATCCTCGGCGATTTTAACGCCCAACACGCCGAATGCTTGCTTGGTTCACGTTCAACCGATCATGCGCGGAGATCTGTTCATGACTTTGCCTTGGCACATTGTCTGACACAAATGGTTACTTCACCTACGCGGATACCAGATGTGGAGGATCATGCACCTTCTCTGTTGGACCTTCTGCTGACCTCTCATCCGGACGGATATTAGATTTCCTTCGACGCCCCTTTAGGCTCCTCGGACCATTGTCTTGTTCGGATTGTGGAACCACTCACGCTGAAATCGCAGTTGAATTCTACAGGCTGCCGCAGAGTTTGGCACTATAGGACAGCTGATTGGGATAGGATGCGGTTTTTCTTTGCATCCTACCCTTGGTGGCGGGTTTGCTTCTCGCCGGACGATCCCAACGTTGTTGCTGATTCTGTCGCTGATGTGGTACTTCAGGGTATGAAACTTTTTATTCCTTCTTCTGTGGTGCCCTTCGGAGGCAAATCTCAGCTATGGTTTGGTCGCTCCTATAAAATATATATCCTCCTATAAGCAGGAGTGCTACCAAGCCTGGGCTGACGCATCCACGTCACGGGATGTAAACAACAGCGCTTTAAAAAAGAAGTATAATTCCGCTTCCAGGTCCTTCAAAAGAGTCATTGCCAAAGCAAAGTCGGAGTACATAGGCAGAATTGGCGAGAAACTAGTTCGCCTTCCTTCTGGAACCCGGGCGTTCTGGTCTCTCGCCAAGGCTGTCCAGGGGAATTTCTGTCACCCATCTCTTCCATCTCCGCACAGGGAAGATGACTCAATGGCCCACACCACAAAGGAGAAAGCTGATATGCTAGGCTCTTTCTTTGCGTCCAACTCGACTCTTGATGACGGGGCGAGTACGTTGCCGACCATCCCGCGGTGTAAGTGCTCCATGCCGGAAGTGCGGTTCACACAGCGCTCATTTCGCAAAGCACTCCTCTCTCTGGACATCCACAAGTTGAGTGGGCCTGACGGAATCCCCCAATTGTGCTGAGGACGTGTGCTCCAGTTAACACCGGCCTTAACGCGTCTTTTCCGGTACTTATACTCACTAGGCGTAGTCCCAAAATCATGGAAGACGGCTTTCGTCCACCCGATCCCTAAAAAAGGCGACCGCTCAGACCCGTCCAACTACAGGCCCGTCGCCATCACCTCCTTGTTCTCCAAAACAATGGAATCCACTGTAAACTGCCAGCTCATAAGGTACCTTAATAATCACCAGCTGATTAGTGATCGCCAATACGGTTTTCGTCGAGGTTTATCAACTGGTGATCAACTGGTGATCTTCTGGTCTACCTGACTCATAGATGGGCGGCGGCAGTAGAGTCCAAGGGGGAGGCATTGGCCGTTAGTTTGGACATTGCTAAGGCCTTCGATCAAATTTGGCACAAAGCGCTTCTTTCGAAGATCCATTCCTATGGGCTTCCTGAGAAATTGTGCAATTAGATCACCAGCTTTCTTGCAGATCGGAGCATCAAGGCCGTTGCAGACGGTGCAAGCTCCGATTACAAGCCTATTATTGCTAGTGTTCCACAAGCCTGCATGCTATCACCAACGCTGTTTCTTCTGCATATCAATGATATGCTGTAAACCGGCAACATTCATTGCTATGCAGGTGATAGCACTAGTAATGCTCTGTACACCGGCCATGCCAATATTTCTCGGGAAAAGTCTCCGAGTACCGGGACAAAATTGTGTCTGAAGTAGAGTCATTGCTGAACAAAGTCTCGGATTGGGGGCGACTAAATCTAGTCCAGTTTAACTCTCAGAAGACACAAGTTTGCGCGTTAACCGCCAAAGAGAACTCCTTTGTCGTATCTCCTCAGTTTCAAAGCACTCCCCTTGTTGCCTCAGCCAGTATCGGAATTCTCGGCGTCGACATATCGAGTGACGTGGCCAAATTGGCCTCTAAAAAGCTTGGCAAGCTCAGCAGAGTGGGACCGTATTTCATGCCGGCACACCGGCTGCAAATTTACAAGGCGCAGGTTCAGCCGCACATGAAATACTGTTCCCATCTCTGGGCTGGGGCTCCCCAGTACTAGCCCCTTCCACTTGACTGCATCCAGCGCAGAGCGGCTCGAATCGTCGACGACCGAGTGCTTTCCAATCGGCTCGATTCACTGGCGCTGCGAAGAGATGTTGCATCTCTTTGCGTATTTTATTGCATCTATCACGGGGAGTGCCCTGAGAATTGTCTGGATTAATCCCAGCCGCCAAATACCATGAACGCACTGTGCGACAAACCTCCTGATACTATCCACATCTGGATTCTTGGCGGTCCACCACTGTATGCTTCACAAGGAGTTTTCTTCCGCGTACGACCCCTTTGTGGAATAGTTTACCATCGGCGATTTTTCCAGAAATTTTTCAAGAAAAGAGCTTACTCCTTTCTAAAGGGCCAGCAATGCACTTGCAATTCCCCTGGTGTTGCAGATATTCATGGGCGGCGGCAGTCACTTAACATTAGGTGAACCGTATGCTCATTTACCCCTTCTATAAAAAAAATAATTTAAATACATTAATTCCCCCAAAATTATTTATTTTAATGTTACTCTGTAGATTCTAGTGTCTTGTTATCACCAAAAGCTGATGTGCCAATGGAAGTAGCTGATGATACTAGACCAGTAACCTCACAAGAGATACCAAATTTTATGTCAGGTATTTTTATTTCCATGAGGTTAATAAGATGTTGCTGTCAAAAGATTGTATTCTTTATATACATAAATTTATATTCCTTTAGGTGTACGCAAAACAGGGCTTTCATTTTTTGGATGGTCATCAGCTGAAACTAAACCAGATTCCAATTTTCAAAATACAGGTGGAAATTTTAACTTCAACTTTAGTGGTGAAGAGAAAAAAAACAGAGGAGGATTGTTTAGTATGTTCCGCTAAGCCAGTAATTTTGTTAAATTTTTAATATAAATATTATTGTAATACAATAACAGTGATTTTTTGATGTTACAATAAAAAATTCCTTACAGATTTTACAGATATTTTATTGAATATTAGGAATTGATATAACATTACAGTTAATTTTATTGGTGTAACTGACAAGCTCTTACAGCTATTAACTGTAGCAAAATAAACAAAGGTGCAAAAACTTCACTGTATTCTATTGCTGAATCACCTTGCAGTTTCCTACATAGTAAAAACTTAAATACAAAAGTTAGACCTAAGAAAATTCCACTCCATGAGGCTCGATACAGTGATGCTCGATAAGAACTTTCAAAATTCATACGTATACATACTATACAACAAAAATAAGCATTCATTGCATCACTCACAAACAGTGGGGCAAAGACAGTCCACCAGGCACTGTTCACAACACCATCAATCTTCATAGCCAATAGTACTGAGAATATAGTCAATGTTATTAAGTTTATCCATATTTCAAACACAGTCAATCCGATCCACTGTACTATCTCTTTCAGAGTGAAAAACATTGTTACTGATTGGCACCAAGCATTGCAGTTCTAAATATACGGATGTGAATGGAAGACGAGTGTCGCACTTGGGCAGCAAAGTCCAAGTCATCCACCAATGGCTCCAGATCATCTGTATTCAATATTTTTTTTAAATATAAGTTCATCTATGACATATTTAAAGAAACTAATACTTACCGATAAGGTCAACTGTGCCAGTGTTCACCTCAAGTTGACAGGTACCAGAAAAGAGAGTTTCTACCTGCAGTGCTAGGTTACAGCACCTTTGTATTGCAGCTCCTAAACCATGAAGAATGATTTCCTTTTCACCCCTTGTCAAAAGATCACAACATTTATCCAACTGCGCCTGAAAACAAATTCGTAATTAAAAGTTTTCATACACTTACAACTTTTATTTATAAAACATGTGTAAGGATACATAAAATTGGAAGTCGTTGGCGTACCTATGCAAACGTACCTTAAAATTTGTCTTTTTGGTAACAAATATTACATTATTACCCTCGATTGGTCGAACTGGTAATCGTTTTTTAATAGCATAATTTTTATTTGGAAAACGTTTGGCCTTTCTTATTTCTTGCTTCTTTTCTTTAATGTTTTCATCTGCCATAATGTGAAACTTCAGAAGGATAGATAGTGGTATTTTTTGACATTTGATGTCAGTGTAAGTGACACTTCAAAAATGTCAAAAATCAAAATAGAGTTGCGTTGTTGCATAACGGAGTTTAGAGTTGTTATGTTACTTTCCTCTATGGAATACACCCAGTGCCAAACCCTAATACGATATTAGGTTAAATTCAAGCGAATAGAAGAATGAACGATTTTTGCTTGGTAATTTTTGCACGTAATAGTACATATTTATAATATGATGTCCGTGATGTTTATAGTTGACGACAATATCCACACCATCGAGATACGTGGCGGCCCACTACAATGTGATTTACCAGAACTCGTACGATTTTTTTTGTGGAATCACGTTTTTTCTGGACCAATACGACTTAGGGACTTTCAATAAAAGAGCCTGAAACTTTTTAAAAAACAAGACAAGAGAACAACAGAGAGACAAGAGAAGACAAGGACACAGGCGAGCCGCATGGTATTTACTCCCTCTGCTATAAAAAATGTGGGACTCCCATTTGGATCGGGGTTCTGACGGAAATCTTTCCGTTTTAGATTGCGGTCCATCCGTCGAAAGAAACTTTCGAGGCGAAGCCTCATTCCTGGAACTCATAGGTGGAGTTCTTTGCATACATATTTTATTTTGCAACTTCGGCTACAAGTTTGTCACCCTGCTATAGAAAGTTAGAGATAGTTTTTTTTTATTTTAGGCATAATTAACATTTGAAAGGCAACGGTCAAGACAGTTCTTCGTTCGGGAATGTCTTTCGTTGTCTTATCGAGTCAGACACTTTATCTCTTGTCGTCTTGAGTGAAAATAGAAGATGTTTTTTGTATAACGTATTGAAAAGAAGCTTCAGCAGTAACCAGATTAAAATGTCGATATCTCAAATCTTCCCCAGTAGATATGAGGTCTATGAGAGGAGAGGGATTAGAGGTCTATCCCGTCTAACTTTATTGAAACTACATGCTGCTGTGTTTTGCATGTTTTGCACTTGTTTTCCATAAAAACTTTTTAGTGATTTGCAAATTGCTAACAGACAGAATCTCTACAAATGACGTTAATAATATTAGGTTATTTCTTTGGAGTTCTATGAATTAAAATGTAGCAAAATCTTTCAAGTTTTAGTTACAAAATTATTTAAAGTTATGTTATGTGTGATCTAAAATGGGATGTGTATTATGCTCGATAGGCTCTATCGTTTCAGTCGTTTTAGATGCTTTGGAAAGGTAATTTGATTTGTTTTTTTTATGTCATAGTCATAAAAGGTTGATCTAGGTGTTAAATGCTGAGTTAATGATTTTATTCGTGTTTCAAAGGTTCAGTGTTAAGGGTGTATGTATGATGATCCTTTTCAAGGTGTGTTCGAATCGACGTTATATTTTTTTCTAATAAAATACCACCTTGGCGATAGAGACTGTTGATCTGTAAGTTCAGTAAGCCCATAAACGTTATGCCACGAACATTTATTTTCAAGCATATTCAGCATCCCAATCTGATATATAAAATCACGGAATTGTACTCGATCAGATCGGAGCTATAACCAAGACTTAATTTTTTTGAAGTATATAATGTACTTGGTATTTAGTTATAATAACTTAGGTAAAGGTTTAGTATTAAGTCGCCTAAATAGATGGTGGGGGCGGAGGTAGGGGGGTTGTAATTTTATTATATGATTTCTGAGAAAAATCACCTTAATAGGGTGACGGGGGAGGGTATGCCCCCCACACCAAAGTAACACTAAAGTGTAGTCGAAGGAGCCAAGGAGAAAATAACCACGAAGGGGATAGTGGGATCTGTTCGCTTGCTCACTCGAACCCGCCATCCCCTAACCTAACCTAACCTAACCTCTCCGAGTCAGGGTGCCCCGATTCCCGAGCTCGCTTCACTCGTTCTTGCACCAAATAAAACACCGGAATGTTTATGATTTCTTATATTTACGAGAACACTACATATTGATTAAAACTACTTTAAAGGATTTTATCACGTTTAATTTTAAATGATTTTTAATACCCGACGTTTCGGATGCTTTTCAGCACCCATGGTCACAGCGGACTGAGGTGTTTCACGTCCCGATTTCAATGTGAATCCGAAGTACCTTCAGCTTTTTAGTTATTGTTTATGGTCCGATCTACGCAGAATGAACTTGTTTGCAAATGTTTCAATTCTTGCAGTGGTATGTTGGGTTTAGTTTTAATTTTGTTAATTACAGAGTCCCAAGCAGGTGGTAATACCCAGCCTCCTTCTCTATTGTAATTAGAATTTTTTAATTTCAATAGCCTCGCGTATCATCCTTGGTAGGAATCGCGAGGCTTTGTGGTCTATCAAATCTGATGTAATGGTTGAGGCCGCCTAGGATAGGAAGTCTGCAGTTTGTGATCATAAGTTAATTTCAAACTTTATTATGTGTTTTTCATGTGAAACTCTATTCGATAAAGAATATCTATGAGAAATTATTTTTTAAATACATCATATTAAAATAATGTAATAAACATAATAAAATTACTGTAAGACTTAAAATAGCGACGTTTCGGGCGCTCCTCAAACTCAAACCCGTACCCGCTCGTCTAAACGACTAAAGGTCTACGCTAGAGGAGCCGAGCACGAGATGAGCACAAGTGAGCCGCTCTACTCGCGGTATCAAGTGTGGACGTACAACGAGCCTACAACAATCACTCTTCTCGAACGTAGTTTTCCGCAGTGTGCTCTCGACTCGTGGCAGATTTGGGTGAGTTTGCTATAATAGGGAGCTGCTGCCGCTGCTGCTGCTGCGGTTATTATAGCTGAAGTTAGCAAAAAAGCTAAAAAACCAAGACGATGGGGTTCTACAAATTTATATAAAAACATCCAGTCTCAGTCAATTCTAGATTTGTTAACCACAAGTTAACAAGAAGTCAAGAAGAAACTGGCTAATTTAAGAATATGCCAAGTACATGCCATCTGACTTATTTAGATTCCATATTTTTCTGTCTACCAAATATTTAGTATTTATTTAAAAACGTGGAAAGATTAATAAACATAAAATTTTGTCACAATTCAGTTGTCAAAAAAAGACAAAAATATTTACGATTATTTTTATTAACGATCGATAAAAATGCCTAGGTTAATTATTAAGGTTTTGGTTCTTTACATGTATTTAACGAGTTGAGAATATTTAATATTTAGTAGATTTTAAAACATTAGAAATAAACTACAGCAAAAATAAAAATATCATAACAAATTGCGTTGTAAAAGTAAAAGTAAGTACAAAATTATGTTGCAGACTACAGACGCTTTGCCATGCACACTACAATAAAGTCGAATGTTTGAAAGCATGAACCATCAACGATTTGTCTCCGACGTAATTAATCCGGACGGATCTGATTTTTATTAGGAAATTAAGTAACCGCCGTGAGTGATTTGTGTCCGATGTCTTACTCAAACGAGGAATATTTTAATATATTGATGTGCTATGGAAAATTCGGTGAATGATGGATTGGCCATGGTGAACCGGCCATCTGGTCGGCTTGATTACCTAATCCCATAAATTTAGGGCTTTTATGTCTGTGGTACGATTAAGTATTCAGTCGGTTTTCCAAAAAAAAAAATGCACATGCGAATATTCTACTCCTTTGCAAAAATAAGACAAGATAACAAATAAACATAGTGAGGTGTTTGTGCATAATTATCACAATCGTTTGAAGTAAAAGTTTAATTTTAAAAGTTTTGATAATCGATTACCAAAGTGTTGTTATATAATCAATCACATACAATTTACAAATGTTATTTTATTTAAATTTAATTTGATTATTTTTATGTTGAGTTTTCTGAAGTAAAGTTATTTCTATACGTTT